GAGGGAAGGAAAAAAAAATCATAAGGCTTTTTGAAAATGTGCCTCACATCAGTCAGTATTAGAAACCAAAAGTGGAACAAATTTAGTGTGGGTCGTTGTGCTTCTGCCTCTGAAAGCACAGGGTTGGTCCCTGCTCTCTAACCACAAATGATTTGTTCGTTCAAGTTTTGAATGACTCAGCTGCTGTAAGCCCGTCACCTCCTTTGGGAGGCATTCCACAATTTAATAGTTCTGGGTAAAGTTCTCACTTTCTGTGGAAAAGGAAGAGAGTGATGCTAGGAAAGATGATGAAATAAAAGCATAGAAAATGCCCATGTTCTGTTGCTTGATAAAGAGTAGCCACAGTAGGAACTGGCCTAGGATTTGTTTGGGACCAAAGATTGAGCCTTCCTTTCTGCCAGTCGCTGGAAACCTGAACAGCACAGAAGATGTAGGAAAGGATTTGCTGCCTCAAGAAGTAACGAGAAAGGAACTACCTTGGTAGATCAGAGTAATCAGGCTCTAGCTGTAGTTGATGTCATATGCTTCAGGAGAAGATTTAGCAGGCCATTTTGGAATAACCAGCCTGTAAGGGAAGTTTTCTTCTGAAACCTAGGTCAAAGAGTATATGCTTAGATCGTTCAGTCTTAATGGTTTAGTTATCTTGTACTCTTTGAACTTAAGCATAACTGTACACATTCTTATTGCTTGTACAGTCTACTGACTTCAGAAGCTTGCTAGAGTTGCATGATATGGCCCAGAGGAGTGGACTAAGTAGACTTCCAAACTTGCAGACTTCAATACTTTTTGAATAGCTTGATTTCAGTGATGTGTCACTGCGAGGTAAGGTAGGGCATCCCAGAGGTTAATTAGGTATCATTCAGAAAGGTAATTCCATTATCAGATTTGAATTCCCTGTCTCTGAGTTCTGTTGAAGTGCTTCTTCTGTTATGAGGAAGAGCATTGGGAGCTCCTCAGCGATTTTATGACATGCATTATTATTCTGTGTCCTCTCATTCACTGCCCTTGAAAAGTTACATAGCCCCTCATCTGATAATTCCTGTTTCCAGAACACGTAGTACTGCTTGTTGTTTGGCTGCGGACTTCGCTGAAGGGCTCGACTTGGGCAGGAAATGGGTGGAGACTCAGACTTCAGACCACAACGTGCAGCCAAGCTGTGATGCCTGTGCAAGTATATTCAGACTCCTGTGGCTGAGAGCAGACATCATGAAGGAGCAACCATTTTCTGCAACACATCTCCCATTGCAAAATATTTCGGGTGTCATGGTTATCTGACATTATATCATAGAATCACAGAATAGTTTGGGTTGGAAGGGACCTTAAAGCTCATCTAGTTCCAAGCCTCTGCCATGGGCAGGGACACCTTCCACTAGTCCAAGCTGCTCAAAGACCCCTCCAACCTGGCCTTGAACACTTCCAGGGAGGGGGCATCTGCAACTTCTCTGGGCAACCTGTTTCTGTGCCCCACCACCATCATAGTGAAGAATTTCCTTCTTATATCTAATCTAAATCTACCCTCTTACAGCTGGAAGCCATTACCCGTGGTCCCATCACTACATGCTGTTGTAAAAGGTCCCTCTCCAGCTTTCTTGCAGGCGCCCTTCAGGTACTGGAAGGCTGCTGTAAGGTCTCCCTGGAGCCTTCTCTTCTCTGGGCTGAACAGCCCCAGCTCTCTCAGCCTTTCCTCACAGCAGAGGTGCTCCAGCCCTCCGATCATTTTTGTGGCCCTCCTCTGGACCCACTCCAACAGGTCCATGTCTGTCCTGTGCAATATCCGCGTGTTGAGCTTGCTTCTACACATAAACCACAAGCTTCCAACAATTTTTTGTAGTTACGTTTCCTCGTTAACAAAAAATCTATAGCCAAAGAGTAAATGTACAAGTATCGTTTCTGCATGGTTTTATTTATTTCCTTATTTTTTTACTTATTTTGTTCCCTCCTGACGACTTTGAGAGGAAAGATATACAACATCTACTGTATACTGCAAGTGAAAAACAGCTACAAAGTCAAATTTTTGACAAATGTGTTAAAATGAAGCAATATTGTGTGTTTTCAAATAGCTTTTTTTGATTTCTACACCAGCTGGTTGAAAATTTCTGAAAATCACCGCTTCTTTTGACAGACATTGTAATTTGAATACAATGTGTGAATATTTCCATTCCTTCTTTTCTTACCAATTCTAACAAACGGCTGAATGAGCTCGATGACCTGTAACACGTTCATCTTTGAAAACACATGGTTATGTCTACGTGAGCTGCCACAGAACCAAAACACAGGGAGGCTCAAGTTAATTTTATCTTCTCTAAAGTAGCCGGTCCAGTTTTAGCGTAAACTTTTTCTCCCTGGTTTATTTTTATCTAAACGACCCATTTTTTATACCTGTTCACTAACAGGGTCTTAAATTGGATCTAGAGCTGCACTTCTAAGTAAATCTTAGTGCATGCTCCCCTGTGCTTATCCAATAATGAGGTTGGACAGGAATAATGACTACTAGAATTGCAACATTGAAGGCATTTATTAACATTAGTAATCAGCAGTCTTGTGTGGAAGCTTTATGCCTACGGTTGATCAGCCCTTTATTGTGCGGCATCAAGATAGCTTATATTCAAGCAGGAGAAAACCCGCTAAGAGAGGCCATCAGGTGAGGTTTCCATGGCAGCAGTCGTCCCTTTGCTGCTCCCGTTTGTGGTACAGACAATGCAGGAATAGTCAGTGTGCCACTGCTCAGTGGAGAGGAAGCTAATAGTACTCCATCCCTATGCAGCGAGCGGCGTGGTACCGCTCATTTGAAAGAAGATCAGGGCGGCCGATCCGGTGCGTTTGTGACCGTTGTCTCCCGAGTGGTGCCTAGTACCTCTGGTGCTCAAAGCACGAGTTCCTACGGTGTGGCTGCACCGGGGACAGGCATCCAGCAGCGATGCTGAACACACGAGCAGTGTCACCAAGCAGTGAATGGGCTCCCGTGGTGGGCAGCAGAGAGTAGAGTGCATGAGCTGTACTCAGAGACTCGGAACTAACCAGAGATCACTGACATTCGGGAGCTCATCAGTGACTCATTGGCTGTAGTTAGAAAATAGTTCCTCTTCCCAGCATAAATGCATTCTAGTAAATGCCACTTCTGCTTCGTTCGTGAAATTGGCTACGTAGGTGCAGTTTAGAAGGCCCCTTGAAAAGTCCCTCTGTAAAGGTGTTTTATAGTGCTGGGCAGTTTCATCACACCAGAGAAAATAAGTGAAAAAGAAACACTGGCTCTTTTTCAAGCTTTTTCTTTGGAGCTTGTTTTTCGTAGAATGATCATAAAACAAAAGCAAATTAAACTGAAAAACGATAGGCAATAATAGACACTCCCTGCTAAGCCAGCCTGGGAATAGACGACATCCTATTACTTTATACGCAACTGTCCCAGCTTTTTCTTTGATCAAGAGGAACATGGTATCACCTGTTACCATAGGTTACACAGGGACCCTTTATTTGTTCACAGATACCTTTATGTTGTCAGGTTAATTCTTGCGCAGAAGAATGTTGTGGAAAATAACTGTGAAGTACAGAGATCATTTTCCATATGTGAACTCATTTGGAGAACGGGTTTTTAATCTGCATTTAGATCATGCAGATTAATTTACTGACACATGTAAATTCCTACATGAAGTGTCCAACTGTTAAGGGTTTGGCTGTAATAAAAGCTTTTCTAAGGAGGAGGGAAGCTATGACAACCATGTACATTTCCAGGGTGATGGAGAACTGTTAAGCAGGAATTCTGTACTCTCTGTGTGACAGGCATTTATGGTAACAGTTTTGGGTGGATTTCTGTGCCTCTGCCCTTCAAGAGTCTGTGACTGTTGATCTGGTGATCAGAAGTCTTCCTTAAACAAATAGAAGTATCAGCAAGTGAAGCAAATCATATGGATGTGGAAAGCCCCATCGACAATAGTCTGTGCAGCTGCTGAGTCTTCTCTAGCTGTGCTTCACTGTGAGCTTCTCTCTCAAATTACCAGGTCAGAAAGGGAGAGATTTACATTCTTGAAGAGGGCCCAGCTGCTCACGGCCCCCAGCCTTTCTCCACTGAGCACTTTTCCTGGTTAGCCTCCGTGATGTTTGCTCAGTTGTTTGGCAGCGTTTGCCTTCCTTAGCGTCCACCTGCTGGAAAGCGTGGGCTCGCTCTGCTCCCTCTGACATCGCCGCTCACCACAACAGATCTCAACACAAAAGCGATCCCTTCGGAGGGGACGGGTGTCCATCGCCGTCACACACAGTGAAAACACGTACCTGGAGTGCTGCTTCAGGCTGCACTGCAGTGAAGCTGACACTCTGTCTCTTGTGTTTGCATACCAACGTACCACCAATCTCCACTGTAACTGCATGCTAAAAATCCCTGTCTCACCAGCAAACCACCATCATTCCTTCACATTTGCTATATATTGAGTGTGGAGCTGGGTAGGAGGAGCAACCTAAAACACAGGTGCTGAAGAAATTATTCTTTCAAAGAGAAGCTGAACCGTGTGTTTCTGGCAAACCCAAAAACTGACGTGCTTGTCAGGTGTAGTGAGAAGCAGCAAAAACACACAAATTTGTACAAAGTGAAAGAAGGATGCTGCAGAAAGCGGAGAGTTGGGTTGTGTAGAAGAGCCTGGGGAATCCTGAATGTTCTTTCGATAAAGAACGTGCTTGGAACAGAAGGTGCTGCAGTTTCTATGCTGCTGCATGAAACAGGGGTGTGTATTCCTTGTAAATACAAATGCAGCAAGGAAATACCTGCCGACGTCGGAACATGAAAATGGGCCAACTGCTCATATTAAATTTAAAACAAAGCAGTAAGAACATTGCAAATCAGTCATAGTTTCATCATTCATCATGTCTGTTCTGGGTGGATGTCGTCCAGGTGCTCCAGTTCAGTTTCAAATAATTGCTTTTCAGGTTATATATTTTCAGTCTATAGCCCAAGCTACTTTTGAAAAACAGGGCTGGAAGAGTCAATACTTGTTATTTTTGTTTTGTTTCAGGGTGTGCTGGATTCACCATGTTACAGGAGTGTGGGTGTACCCGCTTCTTGAGCACCTCAGCCCAGGTGTCAAAATAATCTTTTTTGCAGCTGTTACTGTAATAATTAATGTATTCTACTTGGTGGGAGAGGTCCTGAACAACTACATCTGGGATACCCAAAAATGTGAGTATTGTTTTAGGAATATTAACTCATGAAAAACACTGTCAGGACTTGAGTATGCTCCCCTGAAAGTCGAGAAGTTTTTAAGCTGGCTAAAACAAAGAAGAATGACAGAAGTTCCAATGAAAGGTCGTGCTTGCTTGCTCTTTAAAGCAGCCAGATGAACAGAATGGCTGCTGGAGAGCATGATGAGTTATGAATATGTATTCATTTTTATAACTTCCAATACTAATTTAAGAGCTGTTGGCAATTACCTGAGAGGTTTACAACCCACTTAGTTTACAACCCACTTATTAGCTGATGAACCCATTAAATGCAGCTACAAGGAAGTATCATTCTGTGGGAGTGCTGTTAATGGTGAGCTTAGACTTAGAAATAAAAATCTATTTTTTTGGTATTTTCAGGTATAAGGTGTTTTATGGTTACAAATTTACTCAAGGAAAATGAGTATGTTCATGTCTAAAATAATAGGAATGAAAGATCACCTTAGTGCAGGGTAAACATAACTGTGCAGACTCTACATCATCTACCCTACCTAGGCCACCCATTGCTTAGTAGAGGGGAAAATAAGACAAACACAAGATTACAGTTAGGTTCCTTTAATCTGTGAAAGATGTTTTTCATTTATCAAATTGCCTGAAATAAGAAAACAACATTCATAATCACCGCAGTGGCAAATCACAACTGGAGTGAAATCCATGCTCTGTGGGAATTCTGTCATTACATTCGTTGGGCCCATAACATGTTGGGACTGTATGAGCAGCCTGTATCCCCGTTTGTGTGCACCGGTTAGTACACCATACATTCACGTGGTAGTTTACTACATGCATAAATCTCTTTTAACTAGTCCTCCAGTACTAGGTAGAACCTAATGCCAGAAGCTCAAAGCAGCTTTACTTGCTGTTTGCTTATACTAGCAGACAGGTATAAAGTGTCTTTTTGTTTTTGCTCTAGAACCAGCGATCGTTGGTCACAGTGTTCAAGTCTGGTTTTCAGTTCTCAGTTTGATGTCACATTCACTTCTGTTTAACTTATTTAAGTTAAGAAAGAAGTTTCTAAAAAAGGCAGACACAAGGAGTCATTTCACTTGACCTACGTCTTGTATGAAGAATAATGATGTGGTGAAGAATCACATGTTCTTACCAAGTTCATGAATAAGTAAACGGTTGAAAATCTCCCTCACTATTCCACAGTATGCAGAACAAAATCCTTGGTTCTTGTGACCCTCCAGCCTAGAGGAGCTAACGTCAATCAGGTCATTCTTCCAACCTCTTCCAAGGTTCACCGTGGCCTTATACTCTCCATCATTTCCTTGATTTGGTTAAACGATATTAATCCAAAGTCCTTTGTGGCTCAAGCACTTGCAAACCAGAAAATGCCACGAATCACCTGCTGGTTTGCTGTGCTTGAAGCACTTTGCGTAAACCTAACCTGAAGCATATGGCAGGCACACCACAAACTGATGTGGTGATGTGTGATGAGAGATGTAAAATACTGCCAGTCTGTCACCATGTGAGACTTGGGAAAGTATTATTTGAAAACTGTAAAAGGGGCTTTTGGGCAGTAAGCTTGCAAGTTAAAGCAGTCTGCCATGAGAAGATTTTCAGGGTGAGAGGGGGTTGTTTGAGTTTGGAGGTTTTTTTTGTTTTCCTCTGGAGATGCATTAAATAAAGCCTCACTACTGACAAAATGATTTGCAGTTAGTTTTTCCAATTTAAACCACAAACATGGTAGTCAAGGAAAAATTTGCCCTTTTTAAAAGCCAGTGAGAGTGCTTCAGAAGAAAGGAAAGAGGCTCTTTTAAAAAGCAAATAAAACAGCTCGTTTAAAACTATTGGAAAAGTTCCCTCCAGGAGAAAGCAGAAGACTCAAGATTGGCTCTGGAGCAGCCTTGTAAACCCACTGTGATCTTTTGGCCCCGGCCTCTTGTTTTGGTTGTTAAACCCTCAGCTGTGGCTCTTCCATTACATTGGTTTGCCAGCAACACCCAGGGCCATTGTACTTGGGCTGCTGGCAACGCGCAAGCCCCTTTGTTTCCATGTTGCTTCTTTCAGCAAGGCAGCTCTGTAGCTGTGCTTTCTAACTGCAGATGGGTCTTATTGTTTGCCATATTGGAATTAATTAACTATGTTTTTAAAGTGACTTTCAGTTTACCTACCATCTATGCGTCTATTGCATTAGCAGGTGATCTTACTTGTGACTGTGTTTTCCTCTCAGCATTCTCAAACATTACTTTTCTGTTGCCGTCAGTCCTCAGAAGTCTTTCTTTTCCAGCATGCAGCAGGCCTGAAAACCTCCAAAAGAAATATTTGTATTTGAGATGCCTGGCAGAGAGGGCTTAGTCAGAAGAACAATACTTTTGTCAGATACCAATAGTAATTCATTGTCCAGGAACAGGCATATGAAATAGCTGAATGTTTTCTTTGCCAGAAAAAACACAGTCTGCTGCCCAGCCCAGACTTTGCTCCGCATAGAAAAGAGACAAGTCCTGCAGCAAGGATAAGTTCTTTACGGAGCTCCCCACCCAACTTAGCCCTCCTGATATTACTGAAAGACGTGGTTGTTACAAGAAGAGAAAGGCACCCCACCGACAGTAATTGATTCTTCATTCTTGTACTCTCAAAAAAGGGAGATGTACTTGCAAATATTTAAAAATCCAGTGCTGAAATGGAGGGGGGTTAAAGTTACTGAATTCTGAAACACAATTTTTAAAACTTCCTTTGCACTGAAGTCGGCTGCTTAGCTTCAGCTACAATAATATCTACTTTAATTTGCTTGTAGGTAAGCAGAGGAGGTGAGGGAACAAACTGTTCCCAGACCCCTGCAGCCATCAAAGGCTGAGCGTGCGGCAGGGGGTTAGGCTGATTTGAAAATGGTGCAGAGGGAGGGAGGATTGTGCAGTTCATTACTGGACAACCACTGCCATCAGGTGTGCAGATGCTCTTTTCGTTCACAGCAGGTGAGGTAACACATGCAAGAGCGTGTGTGCAAGTAGGGGAGAAACAACAGCAGTAGAGGGAAAAGAAAGATTAATGCATTAGAAGAACCTCTCTAAGTAAACTCTTCATTTTTATTCCTTCTGAGATTTTTAAAAGCAGTTCTCCATATGTTTTCAGGTATTGAAGAAGGAAAAGAAAAGCCAAAACTGGACTGAACGATAGAGGCAACATGGAGGATTGTTTATGGCTCCATGGAAGATTTCTCATCCCCGACAGAGGTTGGCATGGAGAGGAATCTTTTGGAAAGAAGGAAGTTTAATGGGCCCTCTGCTCAGTGCAATGATATTTTTGGGATTTTAAATTGAGGGAAAATGATTTTAGCTAAGAATAATAATGTTTGAACCTCCATTCCTGTTTCTCTGTGCTTGCATGTGACATACACATACAAGATGTATATTTATCTCCATGGCATTCTCAATGTGCGTTTCTTACATCAAATAAGTCATTAAATCATTAAGTCATTAAATCTTTTCACTTCCGCCAAGAAGACCGATGAGTCCATTCGCTGTATTGTTTGAGAAAAGCTTAACCAGATAGGTCTAATATGGGAAAACAAAATAATCCTTTATATTGAAAGTACAGTGTAAAAATACAGTAGAAGTTAATTGCATGAATGTATCCGAAGAAGAATTCAGTCTGACTGAAATATTAATGTAAGACTATGTAACAGCTGCCTTAAACCAATGATGTTAATAATTTTATCAGTCCAGTAAAATCTTATTTGCGGTGTTTGACTATCTGAATATGATGCAACGTTTCTTAAATAGGCCTAAATAAAGACCAAATTGTCCCTGCATTTCTGTTTCTTCATGCTGGTTCTTGAAATTCTAGATGGATTGATGGCATTTGAATGATATATTTTCAGGTTTTCCAGTGTCAGCTGGAGATGACGTTATTTCTATACGAGGATCTTTTTTCTTATTTTCCTAGTACGAGACTTCATCCTGCATTTTCAAGTTGTAAGTGCTTAATAGATGGGCTGAGCCATTAGTGTTGTACCAGAGAGAGCATTTAAGCCTTGTTTCAGGAAGGCACGTAAGCAAATGTTTGAAGTTAAACATGCCTTTTGTATGAGGAATTCAGTTCCAAAATGCTAGTAATCATTTAAACCTGACAGGATTCTGTTTAATTATCAGACAATCAAGAAGGGACTCTAGTAGGCAGAAAAATTGTCTAGAGTTAAAATAAAGTGAATGGAATAATTTTCAGCAAGAAATCATTTATAAAAAAGTAACTTTAAGATCCAAATGTCTTGGTATTCAGATCACATATTTATTCATTAGTGTATTTAGATGTATTTATTTGAACACAGAGGACTTCAAAGATGTATAATGTTAATGTGTGGTTTTTATTAAAGAGATTTCTGCAGAGTTTTAATACAACTTAACCATGTTTCTGCTCTTGAACAGTTCTGGAGGAAACTGATCTCGTGCAACTCATGACATGCCTCCACACTATCATAGAAACAGTGCACAAGTTCCACAATGTGCTTTTTGGTTGGTTTCCTTCAAAAATAATGCTTCTGTGATGATACTGTCTGTCTGTCCTTTCAATAGTTTTTACCTTGTTGATCAGAGTTGCAAAGATTTCAAAGCTTAGCAAGTTACCGGAAAGTTCATGGAAATAAGTGGCCAAATAAATAAGAAGGAGCAACTCTGATGGTCCCACAGAGGAAGATGACAGGACACACAAAACCAGCAGAATCAGGAATCAGATTAGCTGTAGCCATGTAGCCTTGCATTAGGGATATGATGTTCCGCTGGACCTGAGCTGTGTATTACATATGCACAGTAATACTGCAGCGGGGTTACTCTATCCACAGATAACTAGGGCTTGATTGTAATAGGTGGTTGTTGCTGGAGGTGGTAAGATGTCTGTTACTTGGAACAGGCTTTCAAAACTCAGGAAGGAAAGAAAACATGGATTCAGTCATGTTTAGTGAGCTAGGAACTGTTTAAAGTCACTGCTGCTGAAAGCTGTGGCTTAGGGTGGGAAGCTCAAAGCACAAACCCTGTTGACTCGTTTGTCATTTGAAGAACTTGTGTAACTCATGCTCTGCTGTTAAGTCTAGGACATTTTTGCAGTATTTTTATTTCATGGGGATTGTTTCCTTCACTGAATTCAAGAATTCATTCTGATGGAAAGAATATGTTAAATAAAAAGAAGAAATGCCAAAATGGCACAAGGCTGTACACATTCTGCTCAAGTACACTCTGAACGTGTCTGCTGTATTTATTGCACCACTGAATGGCTGAGACCTCAAAAACTGGCCACTGATGGAAAGAGTTCTCTTTCTCAGTAGGTTTTGCACCTGCTCAAGATAAGTTTTTTTTTCCTAACGCAATGTCATTTTAGGTGATAGTGGAAATGTAGTAAGATATAAAGAGAACATAAACATCAGAGATCAGAATTACATAGTGGAAACCATAGGTGGGTGTCCAAGTGAAAGAAGACTCCTTTTCAGAGGTGCAGCCTGTGGACACTTAAAATTGTCATCCCTCGTGTGTGTGAATTTGTGAATATTGAGAACCTCAGAAAAACCAGACTACCAGGCTCTGATCTCAGTTAAGTCCCTGAGGTTTGCAGTGTAAGCCAAAGGCAATATATGTGACACAAAATGTGGTGGGTTTCATTTGTTTTGAGGAAATTTATAGTATTCCGAGAAGGTTTGAACTCAATTTGTCTTCTCAGATCTCAAAAAGTTCTCCACCTCCCATGAGCTTTGAATCATCGTATTTAAAGTCAAAAACATTTTAGGGCATTAAATCCTGCCTATGATGTATGAACCATGATATAAATAACTTGGGGGCCTGTGTACCCGGAGAGCGCTCTTCTAGACTGTGTTCATTCCCTTTAGAATTACACAATCCATCATTCTTAAGAAAGATGATGGATAAATGATGACTAAAGTAAAAGTCACTTGTAAGCGTGCCAAATTTCAACCATCTTGGCTAAAATTGTCCCTGAAAGGTATTTCTCTTGGGGGAACTATTTTTTTGGTGGAAAAGTTTTTTGTCAGAACAAGTCATCTATTTCCAAGTGCAAATCTGTGAAAAAAAATCACGCCTGGAAAACTTTTCTGTACTTTTCTCTTGCTGTGTAACTGGGTCTTCGGAAGAAGGATGGCATTTATGTTAATAACACTTGTGAATTTATGGGTAAAATCTATTCGTCTTTGTCCAAGTTTTCGAAAAAATATGCCTGCACTTCCCTGCAGTGCACAGGTAATTCTTCAAAGTGTTGACCAACTTTGAGAACGATCCATCCTGTGGCTGAACTGGATTTTCCCTACTGTCCCTGATCTGTTGGCCTCCTCCAGGCCTGACTGCCCAAGACACATACCAGAATGGGGCCCCCGGCTTCGGTTCCCCTGTCTTGTCAATAGCTCCGCAAAGCTGATGCAAATAAAGCTGCCTAGACCAAACATGAAGGAAGCAAAGCTTTGATGAAAACCGGAGCAATGAGAATAGGTTCTAGATGGATAAACTTAAGTGAAAAAACTCTAGCTTTTCCTGTGAGGACTGCAGTAAAACTAAATTAGTAATATTTGTTGAGTATCTCATAGCTGTAATGATAAACCATGTAGAAAACTCTGTGAAGGAATCATTAGTTCTGTTGTCAGAGAAGAATATAGCGTGCAGTAAATAAGGCAGGCTGCCACACCTTGAACCGCAAGGAGAAAACAAAATACAGTTTCATCATTCAGTGAGCGCCATCCATCATGTGTTATGAATGAGGCATAGGAAAAAATCCTGTGTGTTCATCTAATTAAAGGCAGTATCATAATTCATCCAGGGGGCCAAATTAAGGTTGAACAGACAGGCTTAATTCTGACATTACGTCACTCTTGAATCCCTGACTTTGTCATCCTAACAATTCTCTCCTGACTTCGTGTAGAACCCAAAAAAGGGGGGATTTTTTTTTAAGGCTGGTTAGACAGTCTAGCCACAGGGTTGCCATGAATTTCAGTATGATTTTGTCCCCTATTTGGCTTTAGAAAGCTCATCCTCACTATCTGCATGCATTTAGCTACCCCAAAACATACATGCACAGTTCCCATACCACCGTGTTACAAAGAGGTTTCCATAATTTGCAAACTTTTGCCACAATTTCAAAATTAAATTATTTCAATATGAGATGTAGCTTGTGTGTGATAAAAACGTAGTCCGCTGTATCTCTATAGCAACAGTTGCCTTATTTTAAAGAAAAATGACAAATACTTTCCCTAATTTTGAGTTGTTTCTTTGCTTCTCTGCTCACATGAGTAATACTAACTAAATTATCACCAGTGCACGTCAAAGCCACTTGGACACTGGGTAGACTGAAAAATGGCTATCCGTTCCGCAGGCTCCCACGTGGCAGTTTGCATAAGGCATAGGCTTCTTGGTTCATTTTTCCTACTGAATTTGCTATTCAAAGACTATTTCAAATCCTGACAACAATTTCTTCTTTGCCTTTTATTTTTGGTGAAGAATTGTCAGTCTGCAGGTCTCTGATACACACTTTGTTAGCCTTTGAAGACTCGGATGCCATTGACTGAACCCTGAAAGGATTTCTAATCAAAAACTTGAGTCCTGAAGAGACCATCACTGAGATAGATTTGGTGTTCCTGCCCTGGGAGTAGAGGAGCAAGCAGTAGGAGATGTGTAGGTGAGGTCGCCTCTGAATGCAGCCTTGGAGGAACTGTGCTACTAATCCTGTCTTTTAATGTTCCTGTGTTTCATGTGAAGAGAGGCGAACGTTGGTGACAGGTATTTTCCATCTGCAGCAGCAAAAGAAAGCCCTTACTCAAAGCGTAACAGGTACTAGTAGAAGAGGTCCTTTCACTAGGGTATCCCAGCAGCTCTGCTCTGCTTCTGTGGTTCAAAGCTTTGCGTCCCACTGTAGCCAGCCGCTTAAACTGGGGCCACAGGTGTTGCAGGGAAGGAAGGAAGTCTGGGAGTTTTACGATATATTTGGGCCACCACGTTTGGCCCAGCATGTTTGTATGTGTTGTGAAAGTGGAGATGTCTTCAATGTGCCTGACTGCAGTATTAAACCTGTGATTTGACTTTTGCAGAAGTCCCATGAAAAAAAGCAGTCGCAGGTTTGGTCAACTTTCTATGGTGGCAATGATGTCTCCTCTTTCTGAGGCAGGAGGGGCAAAGGGGAAATGAAATTAGCCTGGAAAGTAAAAAGATCTAGCTGATGCCACCTGCTTAGAAAAGTACTTGGGCGCGTGCTGGACTCGGAGCACATGCACAGATGCTGTTCAGCCCAGGTGATTCGAGGAGCCGGCAATAACCGAACAGTGCAAGGTGTGCTGTGCAGCAGGTGTCCTTTACTGCGGCACCGGGCACACGGGGACCTCTGCTCCAAACATGCGCGCCAAACACCCTTTTCATTCCAGGTTAAATACAATCACAACATACATATCCATTACATTGCCGAGAAATGCTTAGCATATTCATAGCTTTTCTAAGGACTAATTAGCATATGTTAATGTCTCTCATGCATGTCTGTTGGCGCCTCCGGGTGGTCATCGGGGGTCTTCAGATGAAGGCTCGTACTCTTCATCACAGTGTCCGCTGATTGACCTTTGTTTCTGCGCAGACTCAGTTCTAAGATCACGTATACCGTGTCCTTCTAGGTTGTTTTGCTCTGGTCTTGTTGCCCTCTTGGTGCCTCCTTATCTCTGTAGCTTGGTGAATCTGCCCTCTCAAGGCCAAGCTGTCTGGAGTAGAATTATTTAGGTGTCTCTTATCCTACA